CACTCACTCATTCAAACAAAACAAGTATGCACTTTGCAAGACTAAAAGTCAATTTTATAAATTCTGGGTGTTGCATTTTTTAAAGCTCCCATTAAGAAGTGGAAAAGAACCAGAGTATACTTTCAATAGGGAGAATTTTTTTTAACTTTTACTTAGTAAATATAAAATTCCAAAGTACAGTTTATGGATTATAATGGTTTTCCCCCCCATAACTTCCCTCCCACTCACAACCCTCCCACCTCCTGCTCCCTCTCCATTCCATTCACATCAAGATTCATTTTCAATTATCTTTATATACAGAAGATCAATTTAGCATATATTAAGTAAAGATTTCGTCAGTTGGCACCCACACAGAACACAAAGTGTAAAATACTGTTTCAGTACTACTTATAGCATTAATTCACATTGAACAACACATTAAGGACAGAGATCCTACATGAGGAGTAAGTACACAGTGACTCCTGTTGTTGACTTAACAATTTGACACTCTTGTTTATGGCATCAGCAATCTCCCTAGGCTCTTGTCATGAGTTTCCAAGGCTATGGAAGCCTTTTGAGTTTGCCGACTTCAATCTTATTTAGACAAGGTCATAGTCAAAGTGGAAGTTCTCTCCTCCCTTCAGAGAAAGGTACCTCCTTCTTTGATGACCTGTTCTTTCCACTGGGATCTCACTTGCAGAGATCTTTCATTTAGTGTTTGGTGGTGGTTGTTGTTTTTGTCAGAGTGTCTTGGCTTTCCATGCCTAAAATACTCTCATGGGCTCGTCATACAGATCCAAATGCCTTAAGGGCTGATTCTGAGGCCAGAGTGCTGTTTAGGACATCTGCCATTCTATGAGTCTGCTGTTATCCCGCTTCCCATGTTGAATTGTTCTCTCCATTTTTTATTCTATCAGTTAGTATTAGCAGACACTAGTCTTGTTTATGTGATCCCTTTGACTCTTAGACCTATCAGTATGATCAATTGTGAACTGAAATTGATCACTTGGTCTAGTGAGATGGCATTGGTACATGCCACTTTGATGGGATTGTATTGGAATCCCCTAGCACATTTCTAACTCCACTATTTGGGGCAAGTCAGCTTGAGCATGTCCTAAATTGTACATCTCCTCCCTTTTGATGTACAAGTTTAAGAGTATTTTAGAATGTGCCAAGTAATGTAAGTTATTTCTGTGGATCATGTACTCCAATTTCCCAAAATAAGAAATACTATGAAGATCTATGTAATAAAAGGAAAATATTTGATCAAATAAAACTGGCAAGTCTACCCATGTAATTAAAACCGATATTTGAAATGTTACCTATCTTTAAATTACTTTCAATTTTTCAAGCTATTTAAAATCAATGCTTGTTTTGCCTTGATGCAAAGAGGTTACTACATTCGATCATTAAGTGAATATTGTATGTTTTATAATCAGATTTGTTTCTTCACAACTTACCAACTTGTAAATCAATAACAACTTTATACTGTTAAATTATTCCCTTTCAAATTCCTCAACATGAGTGGATACAGGCATATGTCTTGAAGTATAAAATAAGATTTTTGTATATGAATTTAAACAGTCCTAAAAGCAACATATAAGCCATATTAAGATTAGGAAACAAAAAAAGTGGCCAATAATCCTTAAAAAAGATGACATCAGAAGCTGGAACATATACTGAACACTGGAGGAGAGACACAGGGTGAAGTCCTTTCTGGCTCTAACACTGCCCCTCAGCATCTGGGAAACACTGGACAAGCCCTGGGTCTTCCCCGGGCTCTCGGTTTCTCTCTCCAAAAACAGAGCAGCTGAAATACTAGGTTCCTCTTCAGAACATTACATGATTTTGTGATCAAATAGCAAAGGAAATAAGAATCTGATAATTACCAGTTACCAATTACCCTACATATGACTTCTTTGTTAAAAGAAAGAAATGTTTACAGTAAAGACCCTTTATTGAAGGGAGTGAGTAACCCCTGACATTGCCAGTCATCAACCCTAGTGCAGTGAGTGTTAAAATCTGCTGCACTCCCCTGTTCACCACGGCGGCACTTTTCACCAACAGCCAAGATATAGAGTCTACCTAGGTGTCCATCGACAGACGAGCAGATACAGACAGTGTGGTACAGATGCAATGGAGTATTATTCAGCCCCAAGAAAGGAATAAAATCCTGACATGTACTGCTAAATGGATGGAAATGGAGATCATTATGCTAAGTAATAAGCCAGAAAGACAAAACCATATGTTCTCCCTCATATGTATAAGTTTAAAATAGTTGATCTGAACCTGGAATAGTGACTATTACAGGCTGAGGAGGGTAAGAGAGGGGGGTAGAGGGAGGTCAGACAACAGGTACCAAAACAGACAGCAGTAACAAGCATTACACAGTGCAGTGGGGTGGCCATAGGTTACAATAAGGTTCATTATCATTATATATACATAATTATATACAATAGAAAGAGCTTGAGGAGAGGAATGAAAGGATAGAAGAATGAAAGGGTGGTTGCCTGGCTTGACTGGTATACCCTGTGGGTGTGTCAAACGATTACACTGTACCCCATAAAACGATACAAGTATCCTGGGTTCAGTTCCAAACTCCATCTTCTGCCTCCAGCTTCCTGCTAATGCAGACCCTGGGAGACAGCAGTGCTGGCTCAAGTAATTGAGTTCCTGCCACCCATAAGGGGGACCTGGATTGCATTCTTGGCTCCTGGCTTCTGCCTCAGCCACGCTGAGCAGTTAGGGAGTGACTAGTAGATGGGAGTTCTACCTCTGTCTGTATCCCTCTCTGCCTACCTCCTGACTCTTTGCCTATCAAATAAATTTAAAACATTTTAAATCTATAAAGTATCACATGTTCTATCACAAATTTTAGAATATGTACTGTTTTGGACTTCTAATATAACTGGTACAACTGCCTTCCAGAAAGGATTTTTTTAATTATTTAAAGTAGAAAAGAAACAAAAACTTCATAATCAGCAGACATGAGTTTGAATCCCAGATGTTAACCATTATGAAACTATCTTCATCTTTAAATCAGGGAAATTCATGATAAAGTTTTGGTTTGTTGTTGCAAAGTAGACAGTTTTTGCAGGTGGAACACACAGATTGTCTGACATGGTATCTACATATGAGGGTATTTTTAAAAGTTCAAGAAAAATGGAATTCAAAGGTAAGTTTACTATGGTGCATAAAATTTGAAATCCATACATAAAGTTCATGAAAAATGTATATTAAAAAAGGAGTTATGAAGGAACTTCAAAAATGTCTGTACCAAAATAAAGTTACCTTTGACATGTTTTTCCACGAATCTGGAAGTATACTCATACATCACAATCTCACTAGCCCCAGCAACTAATCTTGCCTACTTCTCTTCTGATTTCCACCCTGCTAGCTGCCATCGTGAGTTAACACTCACATTTTTGGCTTCCAAATAAAAGATCCCTCACTGAAATGCAGAGCCTGTGGGAAACATTCTTACAATGAACTCCATCAACTTCATTAATTCTTTCCTGTTGGCACTGCCTCTGAAAATGGGCAAGTAAGCATAAAGTATAGAATATAATATTAGCAAGGAACAATTACCAAGAAATCCTGCAATCTAAGGAGATGCAGCTGTACCATATTAGAGGCTTTTTTTTTCCATAAGCACTAGAAGTGATTTAACCATAATAAAAGATTAGAAAACAATACAAATTCAAAATGGGAATTTCCAACATTTACTAGATACTAAAAATGATACTTTTAAGTGCTTTACATTTAATCCCTACAATGGCTCTGTGAGGAAGGGGTCATGACCAACACTGTCCCCACTTTACAAACAGTAAAGTAACTTGGGTAAAATCCCTCAGAGAATAATGTTAATAATGGGATCTGAACTCTAATTTGTCTGGCTCTATAGACCCTAAGTGTCTGATTCACAGCTTTATTTATTTATTTATTTGGCAGGTAAAGTTACAGACAGAGAGAAAGAGAAAGGTCTTCCTTCCATTGGTTCACTCCCCAAATGGCCGCTACACCAATCCGAAGCCAGAAGCCAAGTGCTTCTTCCTGGTATCCCATGCGGGTGCAGGGGCTCAAGCACTTGGGCCATCTTCCACTGCCTTCTCAGGCCACAGCAGAGAGCGGGACTGGAAGAGGAGCAACCGGGACCAGAACCGGCACCAATATGAGATGCTGGCACCACAGGCGGAGGATTAACCAAGTGAGCTACAGCGCCGGCCCCCAACACTCATTTTTTTAAAAAAGATTTATTTATTTATTTTACTTCAAAAGTAGAGTTAGAGAGAGAGACAGACAGCAAATGAGCTCTCCCATCCACTGTCTCACTCCCCAAATGGCCACAACTGCCGGGGCTGGGACAGGCCAATGCTAGGAGCCCAAAGCTTTTTTCAGGTCTCACAGATGGGTGCAGGGGCCCAAGCACTTGCGCCATCTTCAGTGGCCTTCCCAGGCAAATTAGCAGGGAGCTGGATGGGAAGTGGGACAGCCAGGACTCAAACCAGAGCCCATATGGGATGCCAGTGCTACAGGAGGTGGCTTAAGCTGTTACGCCATAGCGTCAGCCCAAGCACTGAATTATTAAACACAGTTTGTGTGTGCTGACAGCTTTATATAGCTGGTCCTCCATAACTATGGATTCAACCAATCACAGATCAAGAGTAACTGGGAAGGCCGTATATTGTGGCCAAACAGGTTAAGCTGCCACCTTGAGATGTCTGCATCCCCTCCAAGTGTTGGTTAGAATCCCAGCTATTATGCTTCCAATCCAGCTTTCTACTATACCTGGGAAGGCAGTGGATGGTGGTGCATGTACAGCCACATGGGAAACCTGGACATAGTTCTAGATTCTTGGCTTCAGTCTGGCCCAGCTCCAAGTGTTGCAGGTATTTGGAGGACAAACCAGCAAATGGAAGATCTCTCTATCCCTCTTTCTCTCCCTCTCCCTCCTTCATCTCTGTCACTCAGCCTTTCAAATTAATAAATAAATCAAGTTTTAAAAGATATTTGGAGGAAAATTGCATCTGTACTGAACATGTACACTTTTTATGTTATTATTCCCTAAATAATACTGTAAGATAACTATATATATATTTACATTGTATTAGGTAACATTAGTAATCTAGAGATGATTCTAGATATATGGGTGGATGTATATAAGTACAAATAGTACACCATTATATATAAGGGACTTGAGCATCCCCAGATTTTGCAAGGGTGGGTGGATAATCCTGGCACCAATCCCCATGGATACTGAGGGACAACTATGTAATAGCACACTACAATTTTAGCATAATGCATAGAAAAATGTCATTTAATCAAGCTCTATGGTAATATGTTTAAAATCTTGCCTTAGTTTCTCACATTTTGCCATCAAACCCTTTTACTGACACTGCTGGAGGAATATGATCCTATTTCAAAACAAAAGATATACTGATCTATCCCTTTAAGGTGCACTGTTAGCACTGCGGCCTGCTACCCATAGAAAGCTGACTCAATCAGGAGTACAGAGATTCCAGAAAGGACCTGGGAAGCACTGTCTTCCAGGAAAAACAGCAGAATGTACCATTCAAAAGTAATCCCCAAAGATGGTAATAGACTTTCATTAGGGAATTACATTCCTTTCAGTGGTATACAAACATCTACTATAACTAGATGATTTTACAAAGAAACAGGGTTAATCTTGATAAGGAAAATATCCGATTTCACTTTTATTAACTGAAAACCATAACCCTTTCATGCTTACTTTTTTCTCAGGCCTGCTACAGACCAATCATGATTGGGACAGTTGTTTCTGCTAGGGTAGTTTGAATTTTTATTATAATGGCTAGAAATGGCAGGGATAGAACTAAAAAGCATAGTATAGGGCATGGTGCCAGCTACCTTATCTGCATCTGCTATGAAATATCAGCTGACTATAGTCTCTAGTGGCAAAAAATAATTCTTAACCATGACCATGAACTTTAGTCTCTGTGTCATGGGCCGGCAACTTTTTACATCTGTAGTTGAATACAGGTTTGTTTGGGTTTCTGAGCAACCCTGCAGAAAAATTTTATTTGAAATTAAAAAAGTCTCCACAAAACTGTACAAATTACCAATTCTTGTGAGACTTCCAATTCACTAAATAAAGGAAATTTGAGTCTGACAACTGGTGGAAAGACATGAGAAAGAAAACAAAAGGTAAAAGACTCTTTATTCAAAAGAATGGAGAGAAAAGGGAACATTCAATCATAAAGTATAGAGAGGGATAAAGCTTTTATCTCTCCAAATGCTGGAACCATGTGTTAGGAGATCTGCTTTAAGCACAAAAGAGGTATTTCAGGAAAATTTCATAACACAGAAGATAACACATCTGAGGAAATTAGTAATCCAAGAAACATCGCAGTTTCAATGAAAACATAAGTTCATTGTCAATCATGTAAGTGATTGACAATTTATATAAAGTAGGATGCTTGGAAATATATCCTAGCTTTTGTGTTGACATCAGGGTACCAAGAGAAAACTGTTCTGGACCTGAAGTAAGCTGAATGGACATACCCAATACTGTACTCATGTTCTGTTACTCCATGTTCTTGTAAAACAAAAACCCAGCTCTCTCAATAATTAGTTCACAATAAGCACAGATCTACTGCCCACATAGATCTACTGCTCCTCCCCTGTAGAACCACTGCTGCATCTTTATAGTCATTCTGTAACCAAAAGGAAAGGTTCTAGAACCGCATCCTGAAACACTGATAGATGAAATCTGTCCTCACAAGGCTCTATGTAAGGGAAAGAAGCTAAAAACTATAACTGCAGGGGTGGGGGGCTCTGTACCTCTCACTGTTAAAAGTCCAATTTTAAATCCCAGACTGTGAAATTTGTGAGCCAAGAACATTAATTTTTTTGTCATTACTCCTATCTTAGTAGTACTTTCAACACACGTTTTACTTCTCTTTGCAGTGCTTTTGTTTTTCCCTAAAAATAAAAGTTACAGTATTGGTATTTGAAATTACCATGTGCTATACAATTTCTATGTAACTGGAAAGACAATGTGGGGGTTTTTACCCCCTTATAAAACACAAAGGAGAAAGACTTAGCACACCACAGACTACATATGTGCATTTAAGAAAGAGGAAGAGACATGTAGGTAACTGGAACTACAAAAGAAGTCCTCACTTTTTATCAATCCCTGATTGTCATTCCTCAACCTCTGCTGATAGATTTGTTTTGTGCTGATTTTCAAAGACATCCTTCACAGTTACTATTTAGTCAGCTCTTTTCTGTGAGTGTGGCCCAACTTTAAACAATGTACCCAACTTTTCTCTGAAGGGAAGAAAGAACCTCCACTTTGACTATGGCTCTGTCTAAATAAGGTCGGAGTTTGAGTTCCGTAGCTTTAGCAGCTCATGACAAGAGCCTCGGGTGATCACTGACATCATAAAAGAGTGTCAATTGTTAAATCAACAACAGCAGTCACTGTGCACTTGCTCCCTATGTAGAACCTCTGTCCTTAATGAGTTGTACTATGAGCATTAAAGGTAAAACTAGTCTTCAAACAGTACTTTATATTTTGTGTGTCTGTGTGGGTGCAAACTATTTAAATTTTTACTTAGTATAGAGTTGATCTTCTGTATAAACAGATAATTAAAAATGAATCTTAATGAATAATGGGATGGGAGAGGGGTAGAAGGTGGTTTGGTCTGGGGGTAGGAAGGCAGGTATGGGAGGAAGAACTGCTATAATCCAAAAGTTGTACTTACAAAATTTATATTTGTTAAATAAAAGCTTTCTATATATATATATATATATATAAAAAAACAATGTACCCAGTCAAAGCCTTTTCCTTAATTGAGAAATAAGTCAGAGAGGAGAATTTACTTCCCTGTTCAGTGGACAGGTAATAATAGGAGGTAGGCAGCTGCAAGGCAGACTGCCAGGTTCCAGCGTATGTCTGGACAGCTCTCGTTGACAGCGCATCTTTTCATCAAACAGGTGCCATGTATGATACGACAATCACACAAGCTCTGGGACTGAAGTTAACCCTTGAGTCGAGGAGCACAGACAGTGTGGGTGAGAGAGCCAGGACCAAATGGGGGAGGAGCCCCACATTCGCAGCCCTGATCTTGAGGGAGCAAGAGGGAGCCCAAAGTTCCCACTCATCAATCCCATTTGGTAGTTTTATTAAGGCAATGTAGTTGCAAGAGAACAAGAACCAGTAATTTTAGTTTGGAATCTCTAAATTACTGAGTTATTCTTACTAAAGGCTGCTTTCCACAGTGTGTCCTTTTCAGATATTGCAATGAAATCACAAAAACCAACACAAGTTACTTACTCAAGGACAAATGTCTGGGTGTTAAAACCTTTTTTGGAAAAACTAAGGAAAAGCAAAAATTACATTTAATCTGCTGGGCAGTATTTCGATTATCAAATATGGCTGCTTTCTCATTCAAGTGCTTTAATCTCTCATTGTCTACACCCTTTATGAAGAAACGGCAACATCTTCACAGGAAGAAAAACAGATTTCAGAAACACCAGTAAGACCTAATGAGTAGATTTGGCTTGTAATTTAACAGGGTGAACAACAAAAAATTTTGTTTGAGAATTTCTAATTTATTAGAGGTTCTTCAAAGGTCTTAATCATTCTTCACATGGAATATTCTTGGGTCTATATTTAGCTCTGAAAGTGGTTCACTGTGTGACCTAGGGCAAGACAACAGTCTGTCACCTTTCCTGACATGTCAAGCTTCAAATAGAAGGTTAATTACTCAATACATTACTGCTTGTTTTTATCTAAAAGGCTTAAAGGGATGAGGAAGAATGAAACGGAATCCTTCAGTTACTGAAAATAAAATTAACTTATACTAAATGGGGTTCTGTTACCCCAAGGCTGCTTTGTCAGGTCTCAGCGTCTGCTGTGGCCTGCCATGACTAGCCTGGCATTTTCTGATATACTCTGTCATTGTGCTCCCATTCTGATTAGGCTGTTTACAGATGCTTCTAGCATCATTTGGTAACTGTCAGAACTGTCACTTAAATATTCACAAATCCAAAACATCGAGTCTACATTTGTTACTGCATGTCTTAATTCAGAACTGAAAGCCTTTCTGTTAGGGCACATTCAGCTACAAACAACAACAAATCTCTTGACTGAAATGGTTAATAAGTAAATTTCACTATATTAAGTAGACTTTTCATGGATATAAATGAACACCTTACCATGGGCTACTGATGAAAGAAGGAGGTTTATTTTGGCTTATGGTTTTGGGGATCACAGTCCAAGCTCAGGTAGGCCCCACTGGCTTGACCACAGGTGTCGCAAAAGGATTGCAGTGGCAAAGAGCACACAGAGGATGGATTCTGTGGCAATTCAGGATGCAGGGACACAAGCAGCATGCTCGTCTTTGATCAACCAGACACCTTGGGAGAGCTACCCTCTGAGAGGAGGCCTCCTGGGACCCAAACACCTTCTACTAGGCCCCTTCTCCCAAATACTACACTTGGGTTACGTTTTCACTCTTCTTCTGAGTTATGACACTGGAGACCCAGCCTTTTAACACGTGAGTCTTTTGGGGACATTCAAAGTAAGTCTAAACCACAGTCACTATGTTTATGGTAATATCCTTCTGGGATTGGTTAATTCAGTGGCTCAACAAGACCATCACCACTCTCGTTTCCAGGGTCCCATACGCAGCATAGCTGCTTGTGGACAATAAGTGTCTCCTATGAGTAAGATGACAGAAACATCCAGGATCACATGTAGCCAATAATTCCCAGTTAAAAATCCCCATTCTCTTCCCTCTGGATTTTTTTTTAAAGATTTATTTGTAATAGAGAGGGGGGAGAGACAGAGGAATCTTCCATCCACTGATTCACTCCCCAAATGACCAGAACAGCCAGGGCTGGGCCAGGACAAAGCCAGGAACCTGGAACTCCATCCAGGTCTCCTAGGTAGGTGGCAGGGGCCCAAGCAGTTGGGCCATCTCCTGCTGCTTTCCCAGGTACACTAGGATGGAGCTGGATGGAAGTGAAGCAGCTGGGACTTAAACCAGTATCCACTGCTGTGCCAGAATTTCAGCTCCACTTGAATCTCTTTTTACTGTTTAAAAAGAAAAAAAAAAGTTTTCTCTGAGACCCCAAGAGAATTTCCCCTCACACATCAGAATCGTGTACATGCTGTGTCCTAAACTGATCATTAGCAAGAAGAATGGAACCAACCACCTGCCAGAAGAAAGCCAGGGCCAAATGCCCTGACGCCCATGGCACTACAGTGAAGGAGCAGTTGGGAAGAGAATGTACTCAAAACACACGCAGTACTAGTGTAAGCTTGAGTTTCATATTTGCCTTTTTAAAAAATGTGGTGCAGCCTGAATACTTTTTACCCAAAATGCTTGGAACCAGAAGTGTTTCAGATTTCAGATTTTTCAGATTTTTTTTTTGAGATTAGCAAAGAGATATTTTATTTAAAAACAACTTTTAGACCATTACCATCATACAGGTAGAGAAACTTTAACAGATTTAAATAAAATCCAGTCTTTCCTAAAAGCATAGGTGATTTAAGAAAAGGAAGATCACATGTGATAAAGGTAACTGGAGAGGTAGGGAAAAGATCAATGATCATTTTTTTATATATAAAGACAGCAGACTATTCATGAGTTAAGTTCTAGACACAAGTAAATTTGGAAACAAGGAAAACATTTATATATTTTACAAAAATAATCTATTTCAATAAATCTATTAAATAGGTAATAATGGATACCAAAATGATGATAAATTTATCAATTAAAAATCCATTTAACAATCAGTTTACAGATTTTGAAAAAAAATACATACATATGTATATATATATATACACACATCTTGGGAAGGGGAGCCTAAACATTAAACTCATTTATGTTTCATATATACCTTATATACACATCCCGAGAGTAATTTTACACAAAATTTTAAATAATTTGGGGCATGAAGTGAAGTTTTTGTTGTGGAATTTTCTCCTTGTAGCATCACATCAATGCTCAAAAATTTTAATGTGGCATATGGGATGCCAGCGGCACAAGCAGTGCGCAGCACAGCAGTGGCTCTACCCACCATGCCACAATGCCAGTCCCTACTCTGTGCTTCTTTAACCCTTGTTATGCCTCTGGTTTTACCAGAACAAGTTTCTCTGCAGAAGTAGCAAATCCAAAAGTAGATGGGCATATTTTTATGCTGTTGTTTTCCCACAGACCAACACGAAACAAGAAACAGATTTGTTGTATTTACATAAACAATTTCATAACCTTTTCTCTCCATCCTTGCCCCTTGTTTTCGGCCTCTATCCTCCCCTAACATATTTAGCTCAGGTAACGAGCTGCAAAACAAGTCTGAAGTGCAAGCTTTCCCACGGCCTCTGCAGCTCTTCCATTCACACCTGTAGCTTGTACAACCCAATACCACTGAATCCCATACCTGTCTCCCAGATTTAACATCTTTGTCCTAGACCTCTCTCCTTAACTGCACCTTACTTGGTGCTTTCATATGCCCCAAATTTAATTCATCATCATCTTTGTGAATGGAAGGGGAGAGGGAGTGGGAGAGGGGAGTGTTGTGGGTGGGAGGGAAGGTATGGCGGGGGGGAAGCTATTGTAATCCAAAAGCTGTACTTTTGAAATTTATGCTCATTAAATAAAATTAAAAAAAAAAATTCATCATCATCTTGTTACCAAAATCTATTTTCTCTTTTATGCTCTACATTGATGTATGGCACTATTATCCACCTGTTTATATCTCAGATCTGGGAGTCATCCCAGCCTTTTCCAGCTTTCCTAATCCACCCCAAACCTGCAGATTGATTCTCTTGTCTACCTAGACCTTCAATGAACCCTTCCTTCTCCATCTCCACTGCAAATGCTTACGAGCAGGAAACTATGCCTGTCCAACAGCACGGCCTCTTCCTGGTCTTGCTGAGTCAGCTGCCTGCTCCCTTCATTGGGCTTTTATGTGACTAGGAGAGTGACTTTTCTAAAGCACAAATCTGATTGTGTCATTTTGAGCTCCAAAATGTTTGATGATTCCCATTCCCTACAAAAATACGATCTGAACTCCTTAAGGATACATAAGTCGTGTGCAGAGTGTATTCCTTGCACGACCCAGCACAAGTCCCCCTGGCTCACTGCATCGTGATGCTTTCTCAGCCTGGAAAACGCTCCACTTTCTCTTGCTTCCTCCCCTCCCCCTGGCATTCTCATTTCCAGCTCAAACCTCTCCTCTCTGTGCAGCCTTCCCTGACAACCCTAGGCAGAATCAGAACTCTACTTCGCTCCCATTAACTTTGTGGCAGTCCAGATCATTTTAAACCGTAATTGTCTGTTTCATGACTTCCTGCTAGAAAGAAAACTCTTAAAGTACTGTTTGTGTTCATTCTTCTTCGATCTTCACTGTCCAGCATCATACTTGGCACTTGGTAGGCTCAATAGGTATCTATTCAATAAACTACACAAATAAATGAAAACAACAGAAGCCAGGGTGGAGACATTTTAAAGTGAAGGAAGAGCCTCTCTATGTGCACGGTCGCTAGCAATGCTTCCGCTGCCTGGGAGGACATGCAAACTACCAGTGCAGGCAGCACTGGTGAATCCTAAATCCACTTGGCCCCTTGTTCCTATTTTAAGAGTAACTATGTTACAAAATGAAAACCCAGAGGAAGGGGGTTTTCAGACAGATCTGGAGAATGAAAACTTTATTGTTTCTCCTCCAATTAATCACAGATGCAATAAGAATCGAAGTCTAGCTTTGGCAGAAACTGAAATAGAACAACTGAACACAGAATGGAGAATTCACGAATTCTAATGATGGAAGAAACTCCATGAGAGTATTCACACTGACAGATTAGACATCCCCATAAACAGTACTCACTCCTCCATCACAAGAGACAGTAAAGACTTTCACAGATCCCGGGATCCCTGGCACCCTTCCCTGTGTCTGAACAACCCTCTGGAGTTTCAAGTTTCTCCTAAGGCCTACACTGTTATACACCAAAGAAAGGTTAAGGAGAAACTGACATTGTCTTTTTATATTAACCCTTTAAGTCACTTTTCAGCCTCCACAGTCCACGGGTTTAGGAATTCTGCCTACAATTTATTATGAAAACACTAATTGTATGAGCGCAGTGAGCAAACACTGAGTGTATGTTAGGCATGATGCTATCAGCTGTTTGATGCAAGCACGTCCAGTCCTCCTAGCA